TTTCCATGAGCAGGAACTGGCAAGGCAGGGTTTGCAGGCTTAGGATTGGTAGTGTGAATAATTTCAGGGGGCTCTGAGGCGTGGGGCTGTCCCTAGGTGCATGGTACCTGGCCCTGGGGTGATTAGGGCAGGGGACTAGTGGCCCAGAGTGTGGGAGTTGGGCAGAGGAAGTGATCTAGGGCATGGGTTCTGGATTGGTTGGTTTGCATATGAAAGGTGTACTCACAGGCTGGTCATTTACCATCTCTAGGAATTGGCCGTCCCTGGGAGGGGCAGTCCCTCCAGGGTTGGCAAGGCCCTATGTGTCAAAGCATCACAAACACATGGTTAACACATGCAGTCTGCAGCAGAGATGAGGTGATCAAGGACATCTCCATGTCCAAGCAGAACTTAGTGTGGGCTTTATCCGCAGGATGGCAGGGGGAAAGAGAAGTTTACTAATCACAGCAGAAGGAGGATGTCACCAGTGCTGATGGTGGGGAAACTTCCTAAGTTACTCATCCCCGACTTAGCTCTGCCATCAGCCAGCTGAGGACTGTAAGCAAGTCTCCGACTCCCTGGGCCTCCCTGGACAGAAGGAGCAAGTCTGACTCTCTGGACAGGAGGAAATGTACATTTCTCGGACACTCCCTGTGTGCCAGTGTTTTCCCTGAAATCCTCCTCAATGTCTCATCTCAACGTTGACACACATGGACTGCATTGTCTTTACTGATTTTACAGATGAGGAAACTAAGGCTCAGAGAAGTGACAGACCTAAGGTGGCTTTCTCAGTCCGTGCAGGCTGCTATAACAAAATGCTATCCATACACTGGGTGGCTTGAAACAACAGAAATTTATTTCTCACAGATCTGGAGACTCGACATCCAAGATCCAGGCAGATTTGGTATCACGTGAGGACCCACTTCCTGGCTCATAGACAACACCCTCTCCCTGTGTCCTCACATGGTGGAAGGGGCCAGGGCTCTCTCTTGGCCTATTTTATAAGGGCACTAATTCCATTCATGAGGGCTCTTCCCCCTCCTCTCCCGAAGGCCCCATCTCCTAATACCATCACCTTGGAGGTTCAGATTTCAACATATGAATTTTGGGGGGACACAAACATTAAGAACATAATAGTGGCTAATGAGGGGCAAACGGATGTAAACCCAGTTCTGAAAGCATCTCCACCTAAAAGCCACCAAGCAAACAGCACAAGTCCATTTGGAATCATTATACCACCTAGTTCAGCATATGAGGAATATTGGGGTTTCAGGAGAAATGGGGACCAAGTGGAGGCTGAAGAAAGCAAGGCAGGATGGCTTTGTGGAGGAAATGGAAGGGCCGGCTGATTGGAGGGCAATGCTGCCCTACTTCAAAGAGATTGTCATCACGGCAACATGGATGAGCTTGGAGGACATTATGTTAAGTAAAGTGAGCCAGAAACAGAAAGAGAAATACTGTATGTTCTCACTCAAATGTGAAAGCTAAGAAAGTTGGTCACATAAAAGTAGAGAGCAGCATGGTGGTTACCAGAGGCTGGGAAGTATAGGGGGAGGGGGATAGTGAGAGGTTGGTTAATGGACACAAAAGTACATCCAGACAGGAGGAGTAAGTTCTAGTGTTCTGTAGCACTGTACGGTGACTCTAATTAACAGCAATTTACTGTATAGTTTCAATTAGCTAGAAGAGAGGATTTTGAATGTTTCCAACACAAAGAAGTGATAAACGTTTGAGGTAATGAAAAAGAAAATCAGTGGTTGCCAGAATTTCAGGGGATGAGGGTGGGAGAATTGGAGGGAGGGAGGGATGAACAGGTGGAGGACAGAGGATTTTTAGGGCAGCACAACTATTCTGTTTGATACTGTAATGGTGAATACATGACATCATGCATTAGGCAAAACTGTACAATCAAAAGAACTGTACAATTCAAAGAGGGAGCCCTAATATAAAATTAAGTTAATAATAATCTATCAATATTCATTCATAATTGTAACAAATGTACCACACTAATGTACATGTTAATAACAGGAGAGACTGTGTATGTGGGTGGGAGAAGGTATGAGAACTATTGGTACTTTCTGCTCAGTTTCTCTGTAAAACTACTATAAAAATAAAAAAATAAAGAGGAAAAAGAGACCCAGAGAGGGGGAGTGATTTTCCCAAAGTCACACAGCTGGTTTATAGCCATATCTGAGAAGTGTGGGCAAGTCTCCCAACTCCCTGAGAACTCTAGGATAATCTCCTCCTAATTATCTCCTGTGTCATTTAAATGTGGAGCTTTTCTTAGTAGCAGCCTGTGACCATGGCTTTACATGACTCAGTGGATTCCAAAAGGTTCAGTGACACTGACTGTCGTTGCAAATGATAATCTTCGTGATAAGATACCAGACCTCACTTACTGTCGTATGATTGGAAAACTACCTGAGTTAGAGCCAAGGTGTAGACTTTTTTTCTGTGGCCCCAGCCTGACTCTTTGTTCTCAGTTGCAGATAACAGAATTCATTTTAGCTAGTTAAAGCAGAAACAGATTTATTAAGGGCACAACGAGTTCAGAATCATTGGGAAAGCTGAAGAAATGACTGAGCTTCCAAGAAATGACTGAGCTTCCAGGAATGCCTCCCCAAACTGCATTGTGAGAAGGGGCCACGGAGAAAGCTGCTGCCTCTGATATAATCAGAAAGGTGCTGCCCCTACTGCCGTTTCCAAGAGTCATGCCACCCCTGCCACATCCTGTACTAGCAAAACCATGCCCTGAGCCTTGCCATTCTCCTCCTGTAACAGCGCTGAATGTCTCATGGAAATGCTTCTGATTGGTTGAACCTAAATTGCATCCCCCTAGGTGCAAAGGGGTCTGGGAAATGTCATGTTTAGCTTTCCTGCCTCTGTAGTACAGCAGGCATAGAGATAACAAAGACATAGTTTCTGTGTTTGAGATGCTTGCAGTTTGGAAGGGGACACATATATATAAACAGACTATTATGATACAGTGTTATGTGCTCTAATAAAGAGAGTGTACCGAGGGACTCCAGGGATGGGGGTCAGAAAAGCCTTTCCAGAAGTGCAGTTGAGCAGGGTACTGAAGGATCAGTATGAGTTTGCCAGGTGAGAAAGACAGAGGAAGAAGTTCCAAAACACAAAAGAAATAGAAAAATATGAGTTTGATAATTCAAGGAACCTCAATACCTAATTCTTATTAACTCTGCCTAAATTCTTTTATGACATGAAACAAAGAGCCAATTTATTTTGTAAGTAGGAGCCGATTTGTAAAATGTTTTAATATTTAACAATATTATTTAAACTTATTTAAAGGAGGAGGTGGAGTAGGGTTTAGGGAGAAATTGGTAAAGGGCCACCAAAAATATTTACATTGTTGAATGATAAAATTTAAAAAGTAAATGAAAACAAACAAAAATTATTAAAGTATGAGATTATATTATTTAAAAATTAACAATTAAATTACATTAAAATTAAGAACACTTATTTATAAATATAATTTTTAAAGTATTAAATATGAAATTATATTTAAAATTATTTAAAATACAAATATTTTAGAAAGCCAATGTATGGGCTAAATGTTTTAGGATTTCCAAAGCAGCACGTACATAGATCTGTACACATCAATGTCAGGGTGCGTGTGAAATGACGGCTTCTGTGGGCCGGGCAAGTTTCTGGGAAGAGCTGGAGGGAGGCCTGTATCTTCAGTTCTGGCCCACAGAGCCCAGCAACAGCCCTGGCCCTCTCTCCCACTTCTGATTGTCAAGGGCTACCTGTTGCAAGGCAACTGGCCTCATGTTTAGAGTGGCTTGGCCCTGCAGGTTTCTTGCTCATGGTATGGAAGCTGTCCTGGAGTCCAGATGTCCGCATTCCGTCTACCCCAACTTCTGAACAAACTCCAGAAAGAGAGAGGCCATGAGGAGAGGGTTCACCTGGCCTCTGCCTCCGGAGGCATCTCCTCACCCCACCCCCAGTTGTGGGAAGCCAGGGGACATCAGCTGTCCTTGTAGCCAAGTAGGGGCAAGAGCTGCCTTGAGTCAGTGCCCAGGTGCACATCCTAGCTCTGCCACCTACCAGCTGTGTGGCTCGGGGCAAGTCAGTTAACTCCCAGAGCCTCTTCAGGGCGCTTGTGATGATCACTTTCCTCATAGGTTAGTTAGAAAGATTAAAAGTGAATGCATCCATCCACACCAAATGCTCGGCCTGGCACTTGGCCCATGGTAAGGGCTCGGTAAGTGTTGGCTGCAATTAGTATTGTTATTCTACATGAAGCTGTCATAGGGACCCTGAAGTGACATGCCTGGAGCCAGCTGGTGCTGGAAAGGGCTTGGGCTCCTTTATAGTCAGACATAGCCCAAGCCCCAGTCCTGTCCTACACTGACAGTGTGACCTGGAGCTGCCTGGTTAGCCTCAGCTTTCTCAGCTGCCAAAAGGGGAGAAAGAAACTTCAGTCTCAGCTACATCAATGCGAGCACAAGGATCAAGTGGGCTGAGGAAAGTGGAAATGCTTTGTAAGGGAAAAAGCTGTAGAAATCTCAGCTGTGCTTGTGGCTGCCATTGTAGGACTATTTCCCAAAAGGAGGAGAAAGGAGAAAAGGCAGGAAAGGGCAGGCCTGGCTGGAGTCTGCAGTCTCGCTGCCTGACTCCCAGTGCTGTCTCCTCGATGACTCTGATCTCTCCGCTTCCTCTGACCACAGTGCACGGAGCATCCCCCCTCCTTCCCCTCTCCTTCACAGCCACAGAACCAAACTGCTTCTGAATTTCTCTGCTGAAATGGGTTCTTGCTCCTGTAAATGATTACACTCCCAGGGCAGTGGGGTGCTGCAAGTAACTGGCTACCCAGTGATCAAGCCAGAAGGCCCCAGTGGTCTGCCTGGAGTCCCCCATCATGTCATCTGCTGGGGCGGGGCTGGTTTGCTTTATTTATTGGGCTGGGACAGACACCCCTCCCCTGCAACAAGAGTCTGGCAGGTCCTGGGAAACCTGGCCTGCTTCTCTGTGTAACCTCTGTCCCTGTTGGTTCCCAGGTACTTTGAATTTTACGAGGGGCCTTTTGAATATAATTCCACAAGATGCCTGGAGCTGAGGCATGAAATACTGGAAGTGAAGGTGCTGTCCATGTGAGTGTGGCCAGGGCTGGGTGGTGGGTGCACGGTGCCGGTGGAGGTGGGGAGGGGAAGGGTGAGGGATGGCAAGGGCGAAAGGAAACAGGAAACACATGGTAGTTCCCAATATGGCAAAAATTAGGTCTCTTTCCCCAAGGCCACTGGTATTTGGAAAGCCCTGAGGTTCTGGAGCACAGTGATGATTGTGCCTGTCTTATGACAAACAGCCAAGTTTGCAAGGTCACCTCTGGTGACTCGGGTGTTAAAGTCCCTGGGTTAATTACCAGTCTCCTTGATTATCATGGCTGGACTCCTCTTGTGTAGAAATTGAAGAGGGCACAGTAGTGTCTTACCTGAAATTCAGTACTTTGCACCATGGGGTTATAAGTGTTGCCCTCTTGCTATCGCCTTTTAAAATTTTAATTTCATTAAAATATTTGATTTTTAAATTATTTAAATGATACAAAATTCAAGTGACACAGAGTATAGAGTAAAAACCCCCCTTCTCACAGCCACCGAGTTCTCCTCCCCAGCGGCAGCCAATGTGTCCTTGTGCCTCCTTCCAAGAGTCTGCCCGTGAGCAAGCGTCTGTGTACGGAGATTCTTTAAAGTTTTTTTTTACACAAATGGTAAAAGAACCATGCTCCCCTCTCCCCACTCAACAATGTATCGCCTGTGGCTCTTCTGCAACCTACTGGAGGAAAAGCGCATTAAATGCTGAACATTTGAGTGTGCGTGTGCCCACCTGAGTTTTCCTTTCCTCATAAAACTGCCATGAATTCAGCAAACCCATTTAGAGGAATTTATGTTGTGTTAATCATGACAATCTTTATTTATTGGGAAACAATTATATCTGGATGTGAGAAAAAATGTGTTTATTCAGGGGTAGGCAATGTTGGACACTCATATGTACCCATGAGCTCCCTGACATGACCCTAGGGACCCCTGCCCTTGGCCCGCAGGCGGGAGTCATTGCTCCTTTAGCCATGTGACACTATTCCAGGTCATGAGAAGAGCATAGGCCTTCGGGTAGAAAGACCTGAGATCCAGAGCCGACTCGGGCCTTACCAGTTCTGAATCTTCATGCAAATTACTTAACCTCTCTGAGCCACTATTATCTATCTTTTAAGGGTTGCTGTAGGCTAGCTGAAATAACATGTGTGACAGTAGATAGCCCAGCAGTCTGTGTGCATAATGGCACACATAATAGGTGCCCGATAAATGTTAATATCCATCTCACTCTTTCCTTCCCACCTCTTTCTTTCCTTTCTGTAACCAGCAGCAGCAGCTTTTCTGGGCTGTCATGCACAGCCACCATAAGCGGAGCAGCTACTGGAAAGCTCCAAGGGTGAGACCAGACGTCCAGCTGGCATTAGCTGCATTGTTTGTGGTCTCTGTGTTAACTGGTGGTCTCTGGACCCTCTCTAGAGATGAACATGGGAGGCAGCTCACCTCCCATCAACCCCACTCAGGCCTGGGCTGAGCACACACCACGTGGCTCCCACCCTCATGGAGCTCACAGCCCAGTGGGAGAAACAGACACTAATAACTACCCCAAGTAGACAAGGGAAGTTGACCTAGGCTGGGGTGAGGAGGGGGTTGTCAGGCAAGGCTTCCCTGAGGAAGCTCAGACCTGAGCTCAGGTCTGAAGGATGATAAGCATTAACTAGGCCAGGATGATTCCAGGTGGAAGGAACAGATTGTACAAAGGCCCCGTGCCAGGCGGGAGCCCGCTGTGTCCCAGGGTTTGAAGGATTGGGGCAGCTTGAATGCCGGCATGAGAGGGAGAGACGCAGGCTGTGTTGCTAGAGGGGCAGGCAGGACCAGGCTGTGTGGGGCCTTGCAGTGCAGACCCAGGTTTGGATTTAATCTTTATCTGAGCGCCAGGGGAACCGATGGGAAGGGTTTTAAGCAGGGCACATAGGGAGCGTGACCTGACTGGTGTTTTGAAACACCCTGCCCAGGAGTTTTGATTTAAGGGCAGAGATGGCTGCCAGACCGTACGCTCATAATCAGGAAGTCTGTATCTTTCCTCAGAATTCAGAGATTTCAGGCCCTTATATGTTTTGCTCTGCAAATCCAGAGCATTTTGGTTGAGAGCATACCTCAGAGTTTTAAAAGAGTAAATAGCTAAATTTTTTTAATTATAAAATATACAGAGTTTCTTCATGGTTCCTGCAAAGTGCGGATGGGAAGATCTGAGAAAGCCCCCAGACTGGTCATCCTTCTGTGTAACTTCACGTCTCTCTACCGATATGTTTTCTATATGTTGCTGTTAATCCCTGTATCAGTTTGCTAGGGCTGCATTAACAAAGTACCACAGATTGGGTGGCTTAACCAACAGAGCTTTGTTTTTCCACAATTCTGGAGGCTAGAAGTGCAAGATCAAGGCAGGGTTGGTTTCCTCTGCGTCCTCTCTCTTTGGCTTGCCTATGGCCATCTTTTCACTGTGTCCTCACATGGTTGCCCCTAAGTCTGTGTCTTGTCTGTGTCCTAATTGCCTCTTCTTATAAGGACACCAGTCAGATTGGATTGGGATCCACCCTAATGACCTCATTTTAACTTTATTACCTCTTTAAAGACCCTATCTCCAAATCCAGTCACATTCTGAGGTAGTTGGGGTTAGTTTTTTAACATATGAAGTTTGGGGAGACGCAATTCAGCCAATAACAGTCCCTATCACAGCTTTCATTTAGGGCCAGATTAGAAATTACTCGGGCCCTTTGTTTTGAGCCTAAAACACAGACATTGTGAGGTATGATGGGCAACTTCATATTTCCCCATGATCTGTGCCCACCCTTGTCCCTTGTCATGGACTCTTGTTGGTGGTGTTTGGGCCTTTCCAAATTTGGCTTTAGTTCTCATCTCTGCCTTTGGGGTGCCTTCTCTGGTCCCCAAGGGCTGAGCAGCCATCCCTGTTGGTGACCTCTAGCCTAGCTAGGCTTTGCATCACTTGTCTCCTCCATGGCAGTGGCCCTATCTGTGGTCCCCAAGCCCTGGGGGTCTGGGCAGTGGCGGTCCTGGGGTTCTGAAGGGGAAGACAGGCCAAGGCTGTCCATGGGGCATCCACATGTGAGCCTGGGGCATGGTGGGGAGCAGCAATCCTAGTGCCTTCTCTTCTGAGTCCCCAAGCTGAGGGGCAGTGACCTGCAGGGCTGAAATCAGGGAGCCTTAGAGGCCGGCCTCTGATCTGAGTGGTTCTGACATCATCTGGGGACCCACAAGTTTGCTGTGCTCCAGCCCAGCGCCATGAGCAGGACTCATGGTGGGACCAACCTGAGTCATCGAGAAAAGGTTCCATCCCCATCTGTGAATGGAGGGGGCTGGACGGATGCACTCATGTCGCTTCAGGCACACACAATGTCAACTGGTGTTCTGTCTGAGGAGATAAGGAGGTGTGTGATTCATCTGGGAACAGTTCTGATCCAAAATTGCTCAAGTCAATGGTAAAAATCAGTCAGCCAGAAAATTCCCACATGGAAAATGTCTCACTCCCTGACAGTGTCAGATACATGAGGAATTACTCTATGAGGATTTGCTCTGAAAACACGTTCCTAATTCTTGTTACAATTAGTTATCTTTGATTTCAGTCATTCTAGAACCTCTTTACTTTTAAATAAAAATCTTCTGTTGCTGCCTGTGCCCATACCCAGATGGGGGTTGTACCTGGGAACTCCCAGGCCAGCCTTTCCTGCCACCCTGTCCCATCTTTCTGGGGCTAAGACCACGAGAGAATCTGGGAGCCAACACCAGCTGGGAAGATGCCGCTCTCTGGGCTGGAAGGCCCCTTTGTGCCCTGCGAACCTGAGTTCTACTGTAGCGATCACATGTCTGTGTCCTCTGCCAGGTGGGGGCTCCTTGAGGGCCAGGACCTGGGCTCAGGATACGCTTGTTCAATGAATGAGTGGACAGAGGAAGTGGTGAGACCCAGGTACAAACGGAGGAGGCTGTGGAAGAAAAGGGGGAGAAAGAAAAAGGATAATGAGACGATCATTCTCATCTCATTATTATCACCATCTCTTGCACGTGGATAATCAAGCAGATCCGAAAAGCTTCAAATAATAAAAAGCTACAGTCCCTTGCCCCATGCCTCCTCACCCTGGCCTGACTCCTGTTAAGTCTCGGCTGTTTCTCCTGGTAACTACCTCCACACCTCCCCGTAACACGTGCGTGCTGCTGTTTCTCCACGTACCACTTCTCACGGTGTTCCTGAAATCCTGCACTGGTGGGCAAGGATTCTACTTCCTTCCACCATGCCCAGCCCCCTCCCCACATTTCCCAATTGAGGGGTATTGCTATTTCTAGTTCTTCTATCTATAGGCTACCTAAGTGATCTATTTCTTGTTCTACCAAATATAGAGAGCATCTCTAGATCCTGCACTGTGTAAGATGAGGCTGTTAAAATTCCCCTACTTTTCAGTTCCCCCCTCCAGCCTATGGCTTCAGTCATCCGTGAATTTACTTTTAAAATGTCAAGGCTGATAACATTTATATTCTACTTTTAACCATAACAAGGCTGTTTTTTTTTCCTGAATTTCTCTAGCGGTTGACTCTAAAATATGAAGATCAGCAAATTGTGTTTTTCATTATTGGGACAAAGTAGGTATTGTTCACTGAAGGCCAGAACGGCACCATGATTCCATCTCCTTTCTTGTACATTTTTTTTCTTTTTTTCTGGAGCGTCCATCCATCTTTTCCCTCATGTACTTTTGTCTCTATTATGTGCTATTTTTTTTTTAACTTCCTGTCAACACATCAATCAGGCATTTCCCCCAGGGTTTCCCTTCATCCTATCCATCCATCTTTTCCCTCATGTACTTTTGTCTCTATTATGTGCTATTTTTTTTAACTTCCTGTCAACACATCAATCAGGCATTTCCCCCAGGGTTTCCCTTCATCCTCTTGCTCCAACTTGGACAAGCTGCTCTCTTGGTGGGTCACGTGGCTGTTGTCCTGGCACTTCCCTTCTCTGCCTTCTTAGGTTGGTTTCACCTTTGTGTAGAACTTGTAGCTTC